AGAGAGAGAGAGAGAGAGAGAGAGAGAGAGAGAGAGAGAGAGAGAGAGAGAGAGAGAGAGAGGTCCACAATACCACCAGAAGATAAAGACCAAACCAGACATCCACCCCGGTAGGCTTGACAGGAGTGAAAGAATTTCACGCTGTTTCAGTATACCAAAAGGGCTTGAAAAGGGCGGCCTATCTGGACCGCTGATCTCGAGAGATCGGCAGCCCAGATAGGTCGGCCTTTTCAAAGTTTTTGGGTGGGAAGTATCGTCCCTMCCCTGCCACTAACACCCCCACCCCCCTTTACAAAGTTTTTGGGCGGAAGGTCAACGTTTGTAGAAAGCCAGGGACATTGTTGCCAATGTCTGCTGAAGCCCGTGCTTGCTCAAACCCCACCACTGACACCCCACCGTAAACCCCCCAACCCCCGACCCCCAACCCCTGAAATACTACCTCCCCTCCCCCCCAACCCACTACCCCCCCTCCCCCTCAACCTTCGAACGAAACTTCCGTGTTCAAAGTTTTCTTTGCGGATTCGGGGAGATCTCGGGGAGCACAGTCCAACCATGTTTTCAAAACAAAAAATAATTTAAATAATAATAAATTGACCCACTTTTGGGCCCAACCGGAATTCAGGTTGGACCACTGGTGGTCCAACCGGCCCGGTCCAACCTGCCGGTTGCCAGCACAGCCCTGGTTTGCATGTGTTTTGTTTTTTTCAGGTCTGTCTGTGCTTTCTCTGATTGCCCATTTTTTTTCTTTTTGCCCATCTCCGGTGTGGAGGGAAACCCCTCCTTCCACCTCTTATGTGGCTCTCCCTCCCCCGCTGTGCAGTACCGCAGCAAATGCCACCACAAAAGAAAACATTCAAAACAACAACTCCACGCAAAACGCCGCGTGCCCCTCCCTAAAGACTCCCTCCCCTGCCAGTGCCACAGTCTCGCATGGGCCCGTTATGTGAGACCCAGCTTATAGAGACAAAATGATTCTACTAGCAAGGGCCTTTACTAAGACCTTGTTGGGTGTTGTCAGGAGAGCCATCAGCCTTTACTGGTGCTCAGTAGCTCTCAAAAATACGACCACAACTCTTCACCGTCTTCAGTCATACCGTCCAGTTTGGGGGTTTTGATACTGCCGATCATTTCAATAACTCTGTGAAGTTCTTCATTTTTTATAAAAGCTGCTAGAATCTGTCTCTGAACAGTCTGTGATGTCCCTTCGGCAAGATATGCCTTTCATGACATGGTGACACTGAGCAAGTCTGCTGTACACGCGAACAATAGGGACTTCCATTCTTGACTTTGCATCTAACTACTTCTGAGTGACCCCCGCCATCTTAAACTGTTCTCTAAACAATGATACAGCCTTCCTAGTGAGCCTAATGGCCAATTGGGCCTCGCGCTTGGTTTCCCATAAACTCAATATGGTACTTCTGCCCATAGTTGCTCTCTATTTCTTCAGTCTTTTCATACCTGGACACTCAAGCTTGTCACCCTCAGATTTTGGCACAAGAGGGAGGATAGTGTTTTTGACATGGTGGGTCCCCACTGGCGAATCCAGTGGTCCCAACCACATCCATTGGTCATCGGTTGATGTCAGAGGTGAGTGGCATCTATATTCACCCGTCTTATAGAGCGCTGATTAAACATCACTGATCTGCGCAATTCCACAAGCGGATTGAACATCTGAATCCTGGACTCAATGGCCACATGTCCACAAGAACCTTACACACCTACCACATCAGACAAAGAAAGAGTAGAAGAACAAGGAACCTTGCACACCTACAGCATCAGACAAGAGACACTAGAAAAACAAGGGCATTGTCCTGGATTCCAAATGGAATGATATCTAGATGTTTCACATGCCCGTTGTCATGCAAACAGTCCAACGCGGCCAGAAGAAGAAAAAGAACAAAAAAAGAGAACTGGCCATGAATAACACCTACCTATTGATATTATGTGAATTTATGCCGGAATCTCCCAACAAAATGATTCCCCAGACACAAATTGCAGAAATTTACAATGTTGGCCAGTGTTGCACACGCCGACCATCGGCGACCCTTGACTGGTCGGCTGCCGACCCGCCGACCGGTTGGCTGGTCGGCACCTACCGGTCGGGGGTCGTTCGCACCCCGCAAAATTTTTTTTATTTTTTTTTTTTGGGGGGGGGTCCGGAACCCCTAATAACCCCACGAACACCCCCATACCCACCTCAAATACCCCCATACACCCCCCCAATACCCACAAACCGGCCCCCAACACCCTAATAACCCCACCCAATACCCCCTATACCACCCSTWTWYCCCCSTATACCCCCCTATAYCCCCCTATACACCCCACCTCCAACCCCCCCATCCCCAAAAGTTTCTCAGCTGATTTGGGCTGTACTCAGCAAGCGCAGTACAGCTTCCAACTCAGATCTGAAAAAAAAATAGTGGATGGCTGTTTTCTGACTGGTCGACAGACCGCCGACCGGCCGGCCCTACTGGTCGGCTGCAATACGGTCGGAGGTCGGGGTCGGCGGTCGGCAGGGATGCAACCATGATGTTGGCTGCTATCGTATGACACGATCTTAGATATCATCGGAGAGTAATACAAAGTCAAAAGTCTATGCAATATAACATCAACATTTGTGTAACAGGGAAAAGACAGGGAATGGAGAGTGGCATAAGTGAATACGAATTACATGATTCTAATGATAGTCATACCATACCTGCAATTTCACAGGCATAGGAGATGATGATTAACTCACAGTTTTTCCAGAGTGGTGATGTTTGTGATCGCCTCATTGATTTCGCCAGAGCAATTATAGCCCGAAAACTGTCTGGAAGAAAGGATACAACCATTGAAAACGTCAAATGATCAAAAGCTGGAGGATAAGATTTCAGAATTTGCAACCGAGGGAATGAAACAGCAAGAGATTTTGAATCAGGAAGGAATTCAGGGTGTTCCGGAGGAAAGAAATGAAGCAACTCTTATGCAATAAGCCCACACAACAGATGCCGACTCAAGTCCCAAGAAATTTGAACCAAACCTTGAAGCAAAACCGATTATCAATCCAAGCAGCAAATGTCAATGCACAATTAAGCAAAGATAACGAGCTGCGACACAAGGAACAACTCTCAATGATAACGGTCTTAATTCACGAATGCTAGAGTCATCTCCCTCAACTGGGTACCTACGTCAATCCCAGATATGGTGGCCTCTCTGCTCCAACAAGGAACATTCTATCCAGCCGCTCCAAATTGGAACACAGAGTCATCAATCAAGACTTCATGACTGGAGCAGAAGAAGTAGAAGGAAAAGAATCAGAACCAGAAGCAGAAGCAGAAGCAGAAGCAAAAGAAGAAGAAGAAGAAGAAGAAGGAGGAGGAGGAGGAGGAGGAGGAGGAGGAGGAGGAGCTGGGCCATTGCCGTGGGCCTACTAAGCCCCAACAAGTGGTCGACGACTGGTCAACTGGTCAGCTGTTCGGCAGACGACCAGTGAGATGTCACTGACTTTCAGCTATGCTACTCTGGTTCACAGGTTCGACAACCACCTTCTGAAAATACCAAGCAAAATGGTAAAGGCATTTCTATTTTGCAATCTGTCTCATGCTTCCACTTCGCTACTGCCAACACCAAGCAGTGGGCAGCCCAACCCATAGGCATCTGAAGACCTGGCCAACAAGATACCAACGTCTCAAGTAATCCTTCACCTGGATTACCACTTGTAGTTGGTACATCACCTTTGCCAGAACATCAAATCCCCCCCCCCCCAATGCATCCCCCTTTTCCATAATTGGCTTCCCCCTATCTTCTGACCTTTCACTACTCTCAGGGTCTCATACAACTCCACCATATACACTCTATTTGGGAAATCAGGAAGACTACCTTCCACCACCATGGGACACCACTCACCTAAAAGGGCCTTTACGAATCAGACCCCAAATAGATGCCCCAACAGCAAGGGGCCGCGTTGGCCAGAACTTTGATTCACGAACGGTAACTCAAAAAAACAAAGTTCCTGAGGTAAATGTCGCATCCATATTGAAGTGAAAAGTCATTTTGAAAGGTCACAAACAGGTCCTGAACGAACAGGTATTGGACACAATTTTCAAGACTGAGTTAGGGTCATGTCTCCTCGATGAAAAGTCATGTCTGTTCGTCAATAAGTCAAAGGCTACAGTCCCAGTCCAGTCATAATCCCACGAGTCAGTCCTGATTCAGACCGGGAGTCCAAAAGACAGGCCCGATGGCCCAAAACAGCAGCAGACCATGGGAAAAGATACTGGGACACACACTTTGCAACAATTGGTACTGGGCAGGAGTCCCAGGCCCACTTGAGGCTGAATGCAGGCCACGCCAGACCAGTCCAGCACTATAAAGGACTGGCCAGCCTCCCATTCGGACAGACGCTCACTTCCCATGAGAGTGTGGACGTGCCGTGGCACTTGTGCGCTAGGTGTGTGTGAGCTGCGCTGGGCTGAAGAGCAGCGCTAAGTGAGGAGAGAGTGCTAGCTAGGGGGAAGGCAGCCATAGCTGCGCCAGCAGAAGTTAGTAGCAGTAGAAGGGTCAGTAGTAGTAGGAGTACCAGTGAGTAGTATTCAGAGTAGATCCTCGTGTGATAGGGAGTGTGCATGCAGGATGAGTGGGAGAAGACCAGGACTATAGACCAGGAGGGAGAGAGAGAAGAAAGCAGACGAGTAAGGGGAACGTGTGAGCTATGGTGATACTTGCCTGTTGAGCGCTGTTGACATCTGGCAGCTGGCACCGATGAGCGCTAGGCTTGGAACTCGTGTTGAACAAAGAAGACTTGTAACTCTGTTCAGCGCTATACACTTTGAACTCATGATGTTCTCTCTCTAAATCTGGGTTTGATAATTGAGTTGAGCTCCCTGGTTCTCGTTCATCTTCTATTGGGTTTTGTGTGAGACTTCGCAATCTGTGGAAATCAGTGTATATGCATGTGATCTGATGCACTCCAGCAAGTGATGAACAGTCGGGTTCCTTGCACACCCAGCAACGATAGGACAGCCAGGTGCCAGCATCACCTAGGGTGTTAAAAAAAAAAAAAAAAAAAGGACAGCCAGGTGCCCTGCCATCTGCACTTTGTACAGCAATCACCACACACAGCTAAAGTCTGCTCCCACGGAACACATCACCATGCAGCACATGACACGAAAGCACATGAAAGTTCACCTCATCCAATGCGAACACTGAATGAATCTTTCAAGCCCCAAGCAAACCGTCCCCAGTAGCCTACATCCACAACGCGGTTACCCACAACCCTGGTCTGCCAAGCAGTCATGTTATCAGTCACCTAGCGCCCAAGCCTGTCTCACGTTAGTTCAGCACAGCGCCCTAGAGCATAGTCACACTATGACTTTCTCAATCGAAACTGGTTGTAGCCACAGTTGGATAGTATGTCTTAGTTCTAGTGACAATTTGTACACAACAGAAGTGGCAAATTCTTGCAAGGGAGAAAACAGAACAGGAGAAACCCAGGATAGAGCATAGTCACACTAGGACTTTCCCAATTGAAACTGGTCATACCCGCAATCGGATACAATCAGGAAATCACAAACTTGAGCATAGTGACGATTTGTACACAACAAAAGTAGCAAATTCTTGCAAGGGCGAAGAAGGACAGGAGTAACCCAAGACACTCACATTCTTGTGATTGCACCAGAAGCGTTACATGTAATCCCTGGCCAGCTGCAATGGTCCGAGCTATTATCCCAAGAAGGGAGGGTGCAGTTCACCTCTAACTTGCTCCGAAATGTCCACAGCGATTGAACTGACGAAAAAGGATGGTAGGAGGGGGAGGAAGAGAGAGGAGGGAGGACGCAGCAAGGAAGGCCAAAGAAATGATGAGCGAAAAGCAAGGGAAGGAAGAACAAAAAAAGAGGGAAGAAGGGGAAGACAGCGTGCGAAGGGACTAGCCACGGCGAAGGGAGCAGGGAAAGCAACGAGATGAGGGAGGGGAAAGAAAGAGTATGAGGGAGAAATGACCGGGGGATAAGAAGATGGACGCAGACAGGAGGAAAAGAGGGGAGGGGGGGGAGGAATGGATGGCAGAGAGAGCGAAGCATGGACAGAGTTACAAGAACCAAGACACAAAAGGAATGAAGAAGAAAATTGACAGAAACGACCGCCAAACAAAAGAAAGCAAGATGGGAAGCATGTTGTGAGACGAGCAAAACCAACATATTGCAGTCCTGAGAAAGTGGTTCAAGCCATTTGCTATTTATCTTAACGCTGTTCACAGTATCAAGTGGTATATACACCCAGACAAGTTAGCACAATCCTGAAGTAATGTTGCTCTATCAACTGTTATGTTCTCAGACTTCTCTCATATTCATAGCCTGACACATGACAGTAATCAAACACTACCCTTCTCCTGTTTTCAACACTATACGTGGATTCACCAAAAAAAAAAAAAAGATTGTGTCTTCAGCACCTGGTAGCAAACTGCTCTTTTCTTTTTTGAATAAACAGGTCCTTCTGGCCCTGGCTCCTTGTCTATTCATTGTCTCCGCAAAATGGGTCAGGGGTGGGTGGTAGGAAACCACAACTGAGACAGTCCATGGTGGTGGAATCAGATAATAAACCGGGGGTATGGTACATCAATGCATCACAATATAGAGGATGGATTTTCGATGACAATCTTGAGGTTCCAAGATGTGTGTGGGTCCTAAGCAGTGCACCGACGGTAAAGCCAGACATCTACCCTCCATACGACAGCAGATGGCATCAAACGGGAGCAAAACGGATAGAAGACAGAGATGTGGGTTTCATTACCAAGCCCATAATAGATGATACTACATTGCTGGATGACAAGCAGAGGCTGCAGACTATGTCAGAACTGCATAAGCTGGGTCAAGCAGCTGAGTTGGACTTTTTGGAAAATAAAAGAGCTAGGGACGAAGGACGGAACTCTGTTACGGGGGGCGGAGCAGAGGGAAAAGACGAGGGTGAGGAGCAAGGAAGTAAGGGGATTCCTAGCAGCAAGGAGGTTACGGAGAGGAACAGAGAGGAGGATAGGAGTAACAGATCCAGTCGGAGGGAAGGAAGGGGGGGGACTCAGCATGCTCTCTTAAAAGGAAGGTGAGTGACAGAGAATCAGACAAGGCGGATGAACTAAGTCAAGGATCTAAGAGAACACATGCAGGGAAGGGGGAAGGGGAGGCCTCCTCACAGACAGGACAAGGGGGGGAAACAGACATGGGGGAAGAGGGTCAGGGAGACATGGAGGAGGAGGGACAAGGGGACAGCAGATCTCAGGGGGAGGAAATGGACATGAATCCTGCAGAATCGGATACGTCATCTTCCTCATCATCAGACCAGCAATCGGGCAAAAATGGCTCAGCAGGTGGCAGCAGTTCGGCAACGAGCTCACCTATGGACAGAACTGGAAAAACAGTAGAGGAATCAGGGGGGGGGGGAGAAGAGGAGAGACAAAATGTCACAGGATACGGAACCGGACGCTGAGGGACAGGGAGGCAGTGAGGATGAGGATTGGGAAAAGGAGGAGGAGGAAGAGGAGGAGGAGGAGGAAGAACCGGAAACATTAGCACAGTGGATTAGGACAGTTCATAAGCTACAGTCGGAGAGGCATATAGAACGTGAAATCCGTTTGGCGCATCACACACATTTGCACAATCTGAAGAAAGCCACAGAGGAGGGAGATGATATCACAACAACAAACCGTTTTGAATGGCTGAAGAAGGAACAAGAGGTAAATGAGTTCTATGCAACGCAGTATGCGTGGAAGGCCCGACCGGACAACAATGACATTGCAGTACATAACTCGGGTTATGTAAAACAGTTCATATGGCCAAAATCTTACCAACCACAGCGTCTGAAGAGATCAGAGCAGAAACGCAAAGCTCGGCAAGAAGCAGCGGAGGGGTCGAGCAGTAGTGACCAGGAATCGGTGGATTCAGACCAAGGAACGACAGAGGAAGAACAGATGGAGGAGGAAAAGAGACAGGCAGCCATTTTGGAGGCGCAAATCAACGTTCTTAAGGACCAGAATATGGAATTGGAGGAAGATACCATAAATCTGTAGAAGATTGCCTACGCACCACACACAGACATCAATGCAGCGGCCAAGCTTTATGCGAGGCATAATCCGGGCAGGAGAATTATCCTTCCTTACCGCTGGAACAGTGGCAATTCTGACTGGGAAGTGGCTATCCAAAGGCCTCTAGCATTGATCACAGCAAAAGACAGTTGTTGTTCGCAGGATATCCTCAAGGAGATGATATCGAAGGATCTCCCCACAAAGGCACATGTAGAGGGGGTCCTTGAGCAGGACCGGGAGGAATGAGTGGACTCGGGTGGTAGTGCGCATATGGTAGTCTAACTGCAGGAGAAGGCAAGATTGGTGGAGGGCTTGATCTGGATGCCTTGGCAGGTGGTGGAGACGATACCATATGGTCTTCTAGGGGGATCAGAGGCGTCAGAATGGGTGGCAAGAGGGGCGGCCATAGCCACCAAAAGTGATGTGTTTTCGTGGCAGCCGGATTACATAGACAGCAAGATTGCACCCTTCGCCACGACGATAGACTTGTCCCAGGCACGATCGTGAGGTCGCAATTACTCATGAGGCAGACATAAGGGATGTAGCTTATGGAGGGGGCACTTGGAGAGGAGATAGAGAGGAGGAGAAGGACAATAGGTACTTCAAGGGGTAGACAACCAGATCTCAGAGTTATGTCTTGGAACATCAATGGGATGGTACAGATATTAGAAAATAGGGATAAATGGGACAACGTAATGAAGTACTCTAATTGGTATGGGAGGGATCCATCGGATTTCCTATGCATACAGGAAACTCATCTAACGGATTCTCCGGCTCATCAGCAAATACAGCAACTTATACTAAAGCCGTTAAGGTGGGTTAAAACAAGCTTTTGGGCACCAGCGGCCAGACCGCATTCATCAAGAGTGGTTATACTACAGAATAAAAGGTCTATGGCGGCAAACAAAATAATACTACAAGATGTGACAGTGGATGAGGGAGAAGGACGCTGGATAAAATTAAATTTCACATATCAGGACGAGCAGTTTGCATTATTCACAGTCTACTGTCCCAACTCATGGCAACCTAGGTCGGATATGATAAATCTATTACAGACCCACATAGGCATCTCATTCTAGTAGGTGATTGGAACGCTACTCGAAAACCGAGTAAGGATAGATTGTTGGGGGGGGAGGTCAAGATTGGGAGAGGGATTTATGTGGGATGAGGCCCTACCTATCCACAATCTTATGGCATCCAGAGACCTTATTGATCCATTTAGACTGCAATAACCAGAGCAAAAGCAGTTTACCTTCTATAAAAGGACTCGTAGTCAGCATATGTCGGCATCTAGGATATATTACTTTCTCATATCTCAAGATATGATAGGAGCAGTGCATTCAGTAGGGATTGGGGACTTACCATATTGCAGTTGTCTGGATCATAAGCGTATCTTTCTCAATTTGGCCATGGATAAGCATATCCATATGGGGAGGAGTTTCTATAAGGTTAATAACTCGTTATTAAAAACTCAAGAATTGAGGGATGCTATAGTGCAAGTATGCCTAACACACAATTCTGAAACACAAACATTCCATGATCTAATAGAAGCTTTGACGGGAGCAACATCAACAGTAGCTTGGCAAGATAAGCATATTCATAGGGGGAGGAGTTTTTATAAGGTTAATAACTCATTATTAAAAACTCAGGAATTGAGGGATGCTATAGTGCAAGTATGCCTAACACACAATTCTGAAACACAAACATTCCATGATCTAATAGA